AAAAAAGTATTGTAAAATAATATAAAAAAAATTTTCATCAATTGTGTAACGATTTTGTGACGTATCAACGGTTCCCCGAGGCAAAAAAATATTTTTTTAAAAGTTTGAGTAGAATAAAATTATCACCTAATTTTTTCGCCCATCCCCCTTTGTTGTGGGGAACCCATTTGTGATTATTAAGTAATATTTACAATAATGTATACATATTTAACTAAAATTGTTAAAATAATACGACTCATATACGATTTATATATTATAAGCGGTTCGTAAACAATTTATGATTGAAAAACAATCTATCTACCCAGTGCACAAAATTTCTAGACGATATAATCGGCTCTTTTCTGGATATATACAACCGGAAGTAGTATTATTAAATAATTGAACATTAATATTCGTTTTAATTAAACGGAAATCTCCATTTTAAAATAGGCTTTGTGCACTGAATACAACAATCATACAGTTCAATTTTATTTTAATCCTGATACTTATATATTATCACAAGAAAATATTTGATTGAGAAAATTGTTGTTATTAGCTTACACGTAGTGTTTATACACAGGTAAATACAGGTACTGCTAATTTATTGAGTAAAAAGTTTGTGTAGCATATAAAGTATAAACCAAAAATTAACTCGGTTAAGGGAAGGTTAGCTTTAGGATGAAGAGAGTTATAATTTATGCACAAATTTTGCAAAAAAACTTTCTCCATTAGAACACCAAAGGCAATTTTTATAGTTGGGATTTTGAGATATCAACATACTCGCGTATGTACAATCTTATATAACTTTTAATAATTATCAAATCAAAAAAAATTTTGTCATATATCATGTAAAATTAATGTAAACAAATAGGTTTTTATGCTCTTCAATAAAGATATCAATTCAAACGATATAAAACATGTTGTTTATCTAAAGTCGCTAAAGTTCTTACCAATATCTTTAAGCCCTTACTCGATACACTACTACTAGAGTTGTAAATTGTAACTTACATACCTTATCTTACATGTAAGTTACATGTAAATTACATTTAAAATTTATAATGTATGGTAAGTTATTTTAATATGTTAAATAAACCAATTATATATATATATATATATATAGAGAGTTGCTAATTCCACCCCACAAAATTTAAAAAAAATGCACCGGAAGAGGTATTATTATTAAGAAAACCTTATTTTGATCTCAATAAAAGTTGTTCATCAGGCCTTTCCGGTTCTAATGGTAGTAAAATGATTAAAATCGGACTGATAGTATTTTTTAAAAGTAAATGAAAGTTAACTAACTTCAGATACATATATCTTATTAACTACTGATCTGACATTAATGAATTTACTACCATTAGAACCAGAAAGACCTGATGAACAACTTTTATTAAGATAAAAGGAAGGGTTTACTTAATAAAAATACCTCTTCCAGAGCACTTTTAGATATCTGGGGTGGCATTAGCAAAAATGGGGAGTGGAAATAACAACTCTCTAAATATATTATAAGCTAATAGTAATTAATCTATTTATATTAATTAATAGTAGCTTACATACTTACATGTAAGTTACATATTTATAACTTACCTTACATTAAAAAATTAAAAATTCTTGTAAATTTACAACTCTAACTACTACAGTAAGTAGTATAGTAAAATTCTAAGTGATAATAGAATTATATTCATCTACTACTAATACTTCATTGGGTATGCAAAATATACAGTACTATGCTTGACAAAAAGTTAGAATACATATTTAATACTACACTTCTCATTTTATATTGTCTTAATCGGGTCCTCTCAAAAATTAATCGCAAATAAAAAATTGAATTCAATTACCTTTACCAACCTCATTTATCAAACTCAATAACTTAATGACTAACCAATTATTTTCAAAGATATCTTAAATTTTTTAATTAATTTAATCGAGAATTTATTATGATAAAGAAAAGTCTGACTTCGTCTGAATGTACCCGTTATAAGAGACCTACCATCTGGTAGATGTTATAATACAAACGGGAGTAGTTTAATTAGCTTAGGTATCCCTACTCAGGCTTTTTATACTTATCAGAACCTGATGGATGCATGTTTATGTTTGGACCATTGTGTATTTGTGGGAATAATAGTTTTGACAATTACTCTAATAATTACCTTGATTATCCACTTTAATGTACTGCAAATTCTAATTGCACTAATAATGACATTAATGCATTTTGCGTATTTAAAATTTCAAATACTGAATTTCATTATTTATTAAATCAAGGAGTAGATATTGAAACAAACCTTAATATAATATGTTATGTGTTCAAGACTATCCTCATTCTCAAAGTATTTGTAAGAAAAAGGATTATTTATGTGTTTGTGTAGAAGATGGAACTCATTATTTCTGTGGTAATGTAATAAATGGAAAGTAGAATGGAGTTTGAATTATAGTTTGCAAATATGCGGAGGTCCTTGGGCACTTAATGTTGTTGATATAACTCCGCTTGAACCTAGATTTACTACATTATCAATAATTATAATGGTGGTTGGATAATTTGTGTACTATTATCTATATTTATTGGAAAGGACGTAATCGTGCTGAGACCTTTAGTGCCTAAACTAATGTGCTGAAGGGGCGGATTGCATATTAAAACCTTGAATACTAACAATATGTTTGCTTTGCATCTATATGAAAAGTATGGATAAAATTCACACCTTAAAATTTTTAAACTCATATAGGGTTTCATTTTGATATGCAAAATACTCAATACATAATTAAATAATTAATAATATATGTGATAATACATTTATTTTGCTGTTGTAACAAAAAAATGCATTAAAATAAAAATATGTGATAATATAATTGTGCAAAAAAATAAAACTATTCAATATATCTATTTGGAATTATCTTCTAACTATATTTTTGTGCACATGTATTTTAAAATAAATACAAATATACACATTTAAAATTTTTATGTTCGCTGTAGTGTATCAGGACATATATGTAACTAGCGGTCCATCCACAATTTTGTACCACTGAATGAGCCATTATATGTTAAATATAATTTCCAGAACAGATCGATGGGAATAATAGTTCTGAAAGACGATGATTTATGACAGTTTCCGGAGCAGAGTGGAGGATGAAAAAATTCCAGATGGACTCAAGTACTATATAATTAAAAAAGCATGCTAAAACGCGTATTTGATACCATTTCTTATTTATTCTTATCCTATAATTTAAAATTATGCATTCTATAAAGTCTAACTTTATCATAATCACAAGGCTTCTTTCGTTTTCTTCTTTTTTCTTTCATTAGAAACTTTAATAGTTTATAAATTTCTTAAAAAAGTCTTATGACTATAATAATATAAATATATTTATATTGTATAATGACCCAAATTAGTCTAGAGTTTACAACATCTCTTTAATTTAAAAATAAATAATAATAACGTACAAGAAATATCCATGTTACCAAAAACTTAATACTAAGCATAAAATTTATAATTACATAAAATTTGGATTATATTTTTTTTTATTAGCGTAACATTCTTAGTTTTATTGGATACCTCCGACTGATTAATGCCTTTATTGGGTAATATTGAATGCATCATAAAAAAAAAGAAAATGGGTAAATATGGTAGTGCAAATAAAAAATTAGATTGCATTCAAATCATTTATTTTAGAGCCAATGTATTTATTTTCAGTTATATTTTTTTCTAGTGCTCTTGCTTTATCTGATTACTCACAAAACTAAATAAGCACAATATGATTATTTTAGTAACTGAACCTTCTGCTCCAAATATTGTTTAGTACAATCACTCGATGGCGCTTTTCTCTTTTGTGTGCAAGATTTGATTTTTTTGGTCAGAGCATAATAATTAAAGTAGGGCTAATATTCATATTGAGTGTTATATGCTATAAATTATTTGGTAATGTTGTATTATAGCCATAAAATTTGTATTAGCACAGCTCCAACATCTATTTAATAAAAATGTTTCGGCTAGAAAAAAAAATCAAAAAGAAAATAATAAATTTAATAATAAAATATAAAAATGAAATAAACCAAATATACGTATTGAATATACAATTAAGTAACGTAGAAATTTTTCTTAAACATAGTGAATTTTTTTTTTTTTGACACTCCGTTTGATTTCCAGACATAGTGCTCAAATTTATATAAATTTTCAATATGATAAATTTGAATTATACACCCTTGCTTAAGTATATGCAGTTTTTTGAAGTATCGATGTAGAAAAATTTTGAAAACTTCGAACTATAGAAAATTTGGATTTTTTTTTTTTTAGTAAATTTATACACTCGTTATAGATACTTCGATATACGTATTCGATCAAAGTTCATCGTGAACTACATATATCCCTGCAAATCCATAAGTGATGAAAAATGTAGTACGCTGGCCTTTTTTGACTAGTCTAGCCTTTTTCATTGTACTGTTCATTCAGCTTTTTGTTAATGGTTCTTATTCATACTTGATACGATTTTTTTGTGCTTATTGTTCAAATCTCAGATTCAGGCTAAATAGGGTTAATAATATTCTTAATATTTATGTAAAATGAGTACCGTAATTTCAAAAAAATTAACATTCAACACAAATATAACTTTGATTAACCCCGCTTTAACGATCTCCAGATTTGGATTTGCGGTAACGTTTCACAGCACTATTTTGATTACGTATATAATAGACATAAAAAATTCTACGACTAAAAATTTTTAGTCTTTTTTCTTCATTTTTTTCAACATGATCACATTACCAAATGAATGCTATTATATCATATTTGATAACTTTCGATCTAATTATAAAAACTTATATTCATGTGCTCTTGTAAACCGTCATTGGTGTAATATTATTATACCAATATTGTGGAGTAAACCAACGAACTGCTTTAAAGATGTGAGGCTTATAAGAATACTTCTTTTAACGTTGAACGTCGAAGAACAAGATCTATTATCTCCATTTAATATTATCCTTCCAAGTCAACCAAAGCCATTATTTGAATATACAAGTTACATTACATCTGTTAGCGATGATTTATTTGATGGAGTTAAAAATTGGCTTCGTTCTAAAAAATATGAAACAAAACGAGATCTTGAAAATGCTATTAAGTGTTCTTTAATAGCAATGTTTTTACGAACTGGTATAAATCTTAAATATTTGAATCTTGATGAAATTATTTGCAATCAAATAATATTCGAAAATCTTTGTAAGAACACAACAGTTACCTCATTGGATATATGTTTCACGAATGAAATTAGTAAATCTAAGGCATTAAATGGATTAGTTAAGATTCTTTATAATAATTCAACTTTGACTACTTTGAATCTTGGATCTAATCTACTTGGACCTGAAAGAGTGAAACTACTATTCGAAACTCTTTATACAAACACGGCTTTAAATTCTTTAAATCTTCATAAGAATCTGATCGGTATCGAAGAGATAAAGATATTGGCAAAATTTCTTTCCAAGAACACTACATTGACTCATTTGGATCTTGCTGATAATTATCTTGGATCAGAAGGCGGAATAGAATTAGCCAATGCACTTTGTGAGAATTCCACGCTAATCTCTTTAAATCTTGGTGGTAATGAACTTGGTTCAGGAGGAGGGAAAGCGTTGGCAAATGCACTTTGTAAAAACACCACACTAACATCTTTAAGTCTTGATGGTAATGAACTAGAATCAGGAGGTGGAAAAGCATTAGCTTATGCACTTTACAAGAACACTACGTTGACTTATTTAGATCTTGCTAATAATTATCTTGGATCAGAATGTGGAAAAGCATTGGCAAATGCTCTTCGTAAGAACAATACACTTATTTCTTTGAATCTCGGTTATAATTTCCTTAGATCAGAAGGTGGGGTAGCATTAGCAAATGCACTTTGCGAGAACACCAAATTGACTTATTTAGATCTTTATATTAATTATATCGGATCAGAAGGGGGAAAAGCATTTGCTAATGCAATTTGCAAGAACTCAACGTTGATTTCTTTGAATATTTACGACAATAATCTTGAATTTGAAGGAGGAAAAGCATTAGCAGATTCTCTTTGCATGAATACCACCTTAAATTCTTTGAATATTTCTTGGAATAAAATTGGTTCAGAAGGTGGAAAAGCATTGGCAAATGCACTTCGCAAAAATATTGCCTTGTCTTTTTTGAATATTCAATATAATAATATTAATTTTGAGCTAAAATCAAATAGTAAACGTATTGAAATACTACAATAAATATAAAAAACATTGCATATTGCTTAAATAGCTCAAATAGCTCGTTATACAATTAGATGTAAATTCAAGCATACAATCATTAATAAAAAAAAATTAAAAAGTGAACATTGCAAGTAAAATTAAATATAAAAAATAACGCTAACCAATAAATATGAAAGTATAATAATTTAAAGGTAGGGTTGCTAGCGCAATGTAGATTGCGTCGCTAATGGCAACTCAGAATTGGACGTACCAATTTAAACACTACGAGAAGATGACGAGCCAGTCACATATTATTGCATTAATAAAAAAAAGTCCCAGTCATTTATGATCGAGTTCGAACTCACGATCTGACCTGGGTGGTAGATCATCGTCTGTAAACGTTATTTCAGTATTGAGACCCCATTTTTTTTGAAATCTGTTTTGATTTAACTCAAAATAGCGCCCATGCGCGTCCCAAAATAACGCGCCCTCTTAAATATACCATACTACATATTGTGATCGAATTTTTCAGGCTAAGTTCATTAATAAACTAGGGCTTCTACTTGTAACCTAAATTTGTCAAAATGATTCGCGTGCGCACGAATACGGTATGTATATCAACTATCGGGAAATTTGATATAGTAGACAGTTACACCTTTTTGAAAATCGCAATAAACCAAGTTTGAGGATCCGATCATCGATTTTGATATTTATAATTGATTCACACCTAGCTTAAGAATTAGTTTCTCGCTTAAATATGTTCTTATGCGTTTTTATATCGCTTTAGACTTAGTTTAGATACATATTTAAGGATTAATACTCAAGAATAAATTACGGAAACTTAAAGATTCACTCATAATATTGTATGAATTATATAACCTTGATTTGAATAGGTTATAAAGATCTTTTTATAAATACGTTTTTTTAAAATAGTGTTTATAAAGCAAATACATGTGATACTCAGAAAATTTTGAAAATAAAGGTGTTAGCTATATGTAAATGCCTTTCTTTCCAATTCCGTGTTTTGTGGTAAGAATATAAGCACTAAAATGGTATGACAAACCCATAATCAATAATTACCGGAAAGCCTTCATATACAGATGGCAAATAAAAACGTAATAATGATCCTTTTGGTAGACCTAAAGTAACAACTATAGCTTCTCTTCCATCAACCAATCCAAAATTTATTGCAGATATTTCTTTTCTTTGAAATTCGAGAAAGTACTATGAACAAGAAAAAGTTTTCTGATAACCGCTTCGTCTGGGATTGAAAGAACTTTCCGATCACCTAGTCGTTCCAATTTATCTACAAATTGGTTGTTTTCTTCTAAATATAATTAAAACAAAGTTCTTATTCAATATAATGAATTTGATGAAAGTAAGATTCATGGTGATTGAATGCCACTGCATACAGTATCGAATATGACATAGTGCTATATGCAAATTACCGTATTACCGCGAAATAGCGCACACCTGCGCGGTATTTCGATCACCTGCGCGGTATTTCGAGTACGCGCATGTGCGCTATTTCGAAATCAACCTAGTTTTTATGAAATTCGGTGCTT